TTTGTTTTTCTCATTGTAAGCTTGCAAAGTATTGTAGATTTTAGTAGAGACCTTAGTCTGATGTGTCATTGCTAAAGATGTTTTCCCAGTCGGTGGGCTCTCTTATTACTCTCGGTGAATTCTTTCGATGTACACAGGTGATTTGTCTTCAGTATATTCCATTTGTCACTTTTGTGACTCTTGTATTTGTATCGTTACCTATTTCCAATAGTCTCATGTATTCCCTGTGCCAAGGTTCTCAGGTTTGTCACAATTCCCTCATTGCTAGCCTTAATTGTTTGGGGTTTTACCTCAAGGTCTGTGATCCACCTTGAACTTTTTCTTGTGCATGGAGTGAGGTAAGGGTCTTGCTTCGTTTTTCTGCAAGTAGATATCCATTTATTCAGACACCATTTATTGAACAGGGCATTTGCTTCCCATTTGATATTTTTTGAGACCTTACCAAAAATCAGTTGTCTTTATGCTAATGTTTTTGTTTTGGGGTCTTCAGGTTTTTTACATTGGTCTGAATATGTGTCGTTATACCAGTACCATACTGTTTTGACTACTCTGGCCATATAGTATGTGCTAAAGTCAGGTAGAGCAAGCCCTCCCACTTTGTCCTTCTTGAGTTCTCTGCTAATTCTGGGCTTCTTTCCTCTCCATATGAAGTTGGTAATCAAGTTTTCCAATTTTTTGAAGAAGGATGGTGCTGTTTGTATCTGGATAGCATTGAACTTATATCGTGCCTTGGATAGGACTGAAATCTTTACTGTATTGAGTCTTCCAATCCATGAGCATGAGATCTTCCATTTGTTGAGGTCACTCTTGGTTTCTTGTAATAGTGATCTGTAATTTTCCCCTTACAAATCTTTAATTTTTCTTTAGTGAGGTATATCCCTAGATATTTCAATTTGTGCTTGACTATTGTAAAGGGTACTAACTTTTTAATTGTGATCTTGTCTGATGTGTATAGGAGACTGATAGACTTCCGTTTGTTGATCTTGTATCCTGCCTCTCTGCCATATTCCTCTATTGATTATAGCACTCCACTTGTGGAGTTTAGGGGATTTTCAATGTATAGGATCATATCGTCTGCGAATAATGATAATTTCACCTCTTTCCCCAGATGAATACCTTTCTTTGTTTTATGTTGTTAGTTAGGACCTCCAGTAAGATGTTAAATAGGAGTGGGGACAGGGGGCATCCTTGTCTGGTCCCCTTTTTCAGTGGAATTGTTTTCATCTTCTCTCCATTAACTACCATGTTGGCAGTTGGTTTTTCATATGTAGCTTGTATAATATTGAGGAATTTTCCTTCTATTCCTATCTTGAGTTTCTTAAACAGGAATGCGTGTTGGATGTTATTGAAAGCTTTTTCTGCATCTATCGATATTATCATGTGGTTCTTACCATTTTTTCCTGCCAATGTGGCGAATAATACTGATGGGCTTTCATATGTTGAACCATCCCTGCATCCCTGGTTTGAATCCCACTTGGTCACGATGAATTTTTTAAAAATATGCTTTTGTATTCTATTGGCCAGTATTTTGTTAAGGAATTTTGCATCAATGTTCATTAGGGATATTGGTCTATAGTTCTCAATTCTTGTAGGATCTTTGCCTGCTGTAGGTATCAGAGTTATACTATCTTCATAGAAAGAGTTTGGGAGTTTTCCATCTTTTTCTATGTTCTGGAAGTTTGTGTAGGATTGGTTCTTCCCTGAATGCTTGATAGAATTCTCCTGTGAAGCCATCTGGCCCGGGCGATTTTTTTTGTTGGTAATCCCTTAATAACCGTGTCTGTTTCTTCCATTGCTATCAGTCTGTTGAGGTTCTTGACATCCATCTGGGAAAGTCTAGGGAGGGATTGTGTTTCCAAGTATTTGTCCATGTCTTCCAAGTTGTTGAATTTGTTAAGAGTTTAGGCCTTCATAATAATTATACTGTTGATTTCATTAGGGTCTGTTGTAATGTACCCTGTTTCATCCATCATCCTTGCAATTGACATTTATTCCTTCCTTCGGTTAGTTTTGCCAGCGGTCTATCAATTCTGTTAATCCTTTCAAAGACCCAACTTTTAGCTGCATTATTTTTTCCCCATAGTTTTCTTGTTTTCCCTCCTGTATCTCAGCTCTGATTTTTATTATTTCTATCCTCTTGCTGTTAGCAAGATTGTTCTGTTGACTCTGCTCTAATTGGTGTAAGTTTTTAAAGTAGTTTTATTAGGGGCTTATACAACTTTTATCACAATCCATACATACATCAATTGTGCAAAGCACACTTGTACACTCATTGCCCTCATCCTCAAAACATTTCCTCTCCACTTAAGCCCCTGGCATTAGGTCCTCATTGGTGTAAGTTTTGTGCCAGCATATCAACCATGAGTCTGTGTTTTCATGTGTGCATTTATTGCTGTCAGTCTTCCTCTGATAAATGACTTTGCTGTGTTTTAAAGGTTTTGGTACATCGTATTTTGATACTCATTGGTTTCTAGAAACTTCCTGATTTCATCTCTGATCTGGGTCAATACCCACTCCTTTTGCAATAGAGAATTTTTCATCCTCCAGTTGTTTACCCTTGTTTGCTTCACCGTCTTTCTGTTGATTTCCAACCTTATGCTATGGCACAGTGATCGGAGAGAGATGTCTGTATAATCTCTATGTGCTTGAATTTACTCAAGTTTGACTTGTGTCCTAGCATGTGCTCTATCTTCGAATATGTGCCATGTGGACTTGAAAAGTGAATTTTTCTGCATTTGCGTGGAAACCTCTGAAAATATCTTTCAAGTCAAATCATCCAGTTGTGCTGTTTAGATCTGTAGCCTTGTGAGTTTCTTTCCCGGGAGCTGTCTTTTTCAGAGAATGGTGTATTAAAGTCACCAACTATAATTGTTCAGACTGTGATTTCTCTTTAATGTTTTGGAATGCTTGATTTATGCATTTCTCGGGTCTCTCATTGGGGGCGTATATATTTATTATGTGCACTGGTTCTTGGTCTACTGTTCCCTTGAGCATTATATAGTGCCCCTCCTGGTCTCTTGTTAAGGCCTGTACCTTTAGATCACTTTTGTCAGATTTTAAGATCGGTACCCCACCCCCCACCCCCCCCTTTTTTTTTTTTTTGCATTGCCATTTGCTTGGTATATTTTTCTCCAGCCTTTAGTTCTCAACCTGTTTTTGTCTTCAAGCTTGAGATTTGTCTCTTGTAGGCAGCAGATCGATGGGTTATGTTTTTTGAGCCAGTCTGTTAGCCTCTGCCTTTTAATGCCTGAGTTCAGGCCATTGATATTCAGTGTTATTTCATCCACCTGTGGACTCGGTGATGTCATCTTGTACCTTTTGTGTTGGTTGTTTTCCTACCTATCTATCTTATCCACTTGTGTGTTTGTGTGTGTGTTTCATTTTTGCCTTCTTTCCACTATTGAGCCAATGCTATCTTGGGCACTGTTTTCTCTTTGTCGCCCTATGTGTGGAGTTGTTCTGTGTGATGTAGACCATCTATTATTCTACACCTAACAAACATACTTTCCCTTAAAATTTGTTTATAGGAAATAACCAGCGAGATGGTGTTCCTCTCTTATTTGTTGCCATTGACCAACTTCACGAATGAGATGAGGATTATGAAAATTAGGCAGCATTTTAAACTCATGATGATGCAAAGAAAGGTGCTGACATGTTCAGAAAATTGGGGATTGTATTCTGTCCTTGTGAACAGGAATTAGTCTTTGAATATTTCTTACCTCTTTTTCTCCTAATAAATGAATCTTTTATTGTGAAATTAGGTGTGGGCATGGGGTTACGTTTCAGACCACCAGCTCTGCATTCAACAGTTTAATCCACTCCTCCCTCACCATGAATTTTCTTTTCTCTTTTAGAGATCTCTCACTTTCCTTTCACTCAACTCAATACACGTCCAGTGTTTCTTCTCCCCCCCTTATCCTCCCTCCCCTGGTAACCTCTAAAGTCCCTTCTCTTTAGTATCTAAGTCTTTGGTCCTTGTCTTGGTGTTTATCCTTATAGTGTAGGTCTCATATAATATTTGTCCTTTTGTGATTAACTTAACTTGGCTCAATGTCTTCATACTTCATTTTGACGAATATGCAAAATATGTTACTTAACCGAAGGCTAGTACTACAAACCCAAAGCACACTAGCTGTGATATTTGAAATGCACTGAAATCTGTGAGAGCCAGAACTCCATGAGACTGCTTTGTGTTTCCAGTCTTTGTACATTTTGTGCCTTTGTCTATCTAGGTACAGTTGGTCGTTTTTGCTCATTTTAGTGGAAGATGTTTGCCCTTTTCTTTTTTGACAGTTTTCGTACTGTACATAAGTTCTGGCTTTCACGTGTGTACTGTAATTAAATTAATGGAATTTGACATTTTTTATGAGCAAATCTAATAACTGCCAAATGTACTCAGGTAATCATTAAATATAATTTTAGGCATATAGGAACTAAATGAAAATACTTTTCACTAGGACAATGAATTGCCAGAGTGTTTTGTAAAATGTTCTTCTACTTTTTATCACGTGAACTGACATCTGAAACATGTTTCTTGTCTGCCTATAACATAATAGACCCCCAAATAATTTTTAGAGAACAACAACAAAAAAAATCATTAGGTTATGTGAAGACTGAGATATTTAACAATTGTTATTAGAATTTAAGATGGTTTTCTGAGAACTAAAAAAAAAAATTAAAAGTCAGAAATATAATGGAAAAGTTCCTACTCTTGGATACTTAGTAAAATGACAGAACCTGAATCTCCTTTCAACTTGAATGAATTTCTTCTCATTTGGTCTTTTGGCGGGGATTGGAATATTGGCATTTAACTTTGCCTAAGTATTCTTCACATCTCCAAACAGATTCATTGGAAGAACACAGAAATAGAAAATACCAAGCTTGTGTCAGAGATTCAGACTTTAAAAAATTTAGATGGGAGTAAAGAAAACATGATTACTCATTTCAAAGAAGAGATTGGTAGGCTGCAGCTCTGCTTGGCTGAAAAGGAAAATCTTCAAAGGACTATTTTGCTTACTTCAAGTAAGGTAAGTACTTTGTAGTGTATATTTAAGAGCGTTAAATGTGTTTTTGTGAAATAGAATTGTTTCTAATCCACTTTTGTTTTGATTTTTTAAAAAGTTAATAGCAGAGCAGTGTATATAGCCACATTACCCTCAACAATTGTGTGTCATCTCTTTCCCCCCATGTACATGCTTGTCCATTTGAAATTTAGTTTTGACATTGTGGCAGCTTACTGTAGATACTCACAGCATGCACTGTATATATTCGAATATAAGCCAATTTTCCCAGCACATTTTAATGCACTTTTTGTGATAAAACTAGGTGCCTCAGCTGATACTTGAGTTGGCTTATACTCGAGTATATATGGCATCTCCTATGATGTGTTTTTCTTTATAACATAAGTGGTTGTTTTGTTTTTTTAATGTGGTTATTATACCCAAGGCATTTAGCATTGTTTTTCATGCTTATGGTTAGTTGATAGTCAAATTATCCAAATATGCTGTAATATAACTTTTAAGTTTTTTGATCCAATATAATCAAATATAACGCATTTATTTGATTTTTTGACTTTTAGTCTGCTGTAATCTAGGATAGTATCCCCAGACCTTTTTAATTTGGTCTTTTGAGTTAATTGACATTTTTGACGATTTAGCTGTCTATTCATCATACTTAGATGCAGGTCAAACATGTTTGGCACTAGAAGACATTGGAGATTATTTTTAAAACTGATGAATTATATAGCAACATTTACCATTTTCAACCATTTTTATGAACAAAACCTAGGAACATTAATTATATTCACTATATTGAGAATAGGTTAACACATGGGCTGTGTTTTAAGTTATAGAGTTGGAAACATCTTTCAACTGAAAGATTTGGTATTACAACAGGTTTTGAAAATTGTTTTCATTATTATTATGAGGGTGGACCTTCCAACTGGTGATCAATTTGAGTCTCAGATTAGCACAGGATGATGTCACCTGACTTCCCCTATGTCATTTTCTCATGTATAGTTATAATGAAATTTCATACATTGGTGTGTTATAAGAGAAATAAACAAAGATGTATACTAAATCTAAATTATGAATTGAAAAGCAGTATTTACAAGTTTGGGTCGTTGGAAATATGTATAAAAATAGTTTGGCTTTTTTACTTCGATGGTTTAATTGCACTTGTACTTTAACTGTCTTTTCTTAGGAAGATACATGTCTTTTAAAGGAACAGCTTCGTAAAGCAGAGGAACAGGTTCAGGCAACTCGGCAGGAAGTTGTCTTTCTGGCCAAAGAACTTAGTGATGCTGTAAATGTCCGTGATAAGACGATGGCAGATCTACATACTGCACGTCTGGAAAACGAGAAAGTCAAAAAGCAGTTGACAGATGCAGTGGCAGAACTTAAACTGAGTGCTGTAAAAAAAGATCAGGTAAATTTTGAGTTTCCATATTGATCACTCAAGAAAAGATACTCCTACAAGCCTAAGACAGAGAATGAATGGTATGTCTAGTAGGGCAGGTCAGATTCCTGATCAAAATTTTGCAATTTACTTAATCATTGCAGTCTTAAGTTGAAGTTAATGAGTATTTTAAAATCCCATTAGACTCATAATCGTTAGTAAAATCTACTCAGTTATCTATTTCTTTCAATTGTTAATTTTTGATGTCAAATGCATAGTGAACTTTTTTAGTTTCTCACTGGCTTTATAAAACATTCATAGTTTTTTTATGAGAGTAATATGATTTGCTCACAAGTGGGTTGTTTTTCTCAAAGTTTTTTTTGGGGGAGGTGAAGTATCGGGGGGGGGTGTTGTTTATTTTTTTTTATTTGAAAAAAATTTGATCCTGAGAGTATAAATATGGGTTTATTTGGAGGGTTACTGTAGCTCTGTACTCCAAACTCCAAGACAAATTGAAAAGGCCAGAAAGGAAAAAGCAAAACTGAAGTTGGGACTCACTACTATGTTATGGTAACAGATTCCCCCCATTTTCTTAGAGGATGTGCTTGCTATTCTCTTAGGAAAAGTCTGATACAGTGGAGCACGAGCTGAGAAGAGAGGTGGAAGATCTGAAGCTTCGCCTGCAGATGGCTGCAGATCATTATAAAGAAAAGTTCAAGGAATGCCAGAGACTCCAAAAACAAATCAACAGGCTTTCAGACCAGTCCGTAAGTGTCAATTACATCTACACATAGCAAAAGATTTTCTTTATCAATATTTTTGTTTACAAACAAGATTTACAGCTTTCTAAAGATCAACCTTTAGGATCTAATTTATTGGCCTGATTACAAATCTTTGATCGAGTATTAAAATCGATAGCACAAAATCTGTAACACTTTTTTTTT